AGCCAACTTATTTGGATGTGTGGCAATGGTGTTTGTACAAACCACAGTTGACCCTGTTGAAGCTAATTGCTTAGGAAGCCTCCGTTACTCTTCATTCATGTGTGAAAAGTTGCCTTTTGCTGATGCTCATATAAAGCTTCTTCTGTGGCACTGCGTGGATTTCAAGTTAATGTTCTCCTTTTAAGAACTTGTCCAGAGTCTTTCGCTCCAGGTGAAGGGCTCCCAAACGCCCTCAGCCAGTCCCAAAGACTTCTCATTTTTCACTCCTCCTTTCCATTTTGGTGCTAATGCTCACACGCAGCTGTCTATTCAAGCCTTCGAGCAAACACGAATTAGCCCACAGCCTTGAAAAAAGCTCCATAGATAATTTGAATTTCACCTAGTAATTCCTTCCTTTTTATCACAAGCTGCTACCTTCTGACTTCTATCTTCTACTAAGCACGCCCAAGCGAAAAAAAATAATGGGCTGTGACTGTGCATTCTTTGGTTCAGGGAAAGAGGATCAGGGCAAGAGGATCAGCTCGTACCTGGGACAGGCAGGGAGAACCAAGATCCAGGACCTTCCGTGTCCTCTCCCACCAGGGCTCTCTCTCTCTCCAGCTGCCAATTGGGAAGCAGAAGGTTGGATGCAGCCCTGCGCTCCAACGTTAAAGAGTCCCTCCCGGCTTGGCGTTTTGGGCTCTCCATGCATGGCAACCACAGGATGTTCATCTAACAGGTATGAAGTAGTAACAGTGAGCCAGCTCTAGGCTCTGATTGCAAACGGGCAGAGCCCGTAAATCTTTTGAGAATGGGTCATCGTTGGCCTGGGGTTTACAAAGTGTGGCTTTTCTGAGCAGCTGCCAGAGGGGGTGTGGTGGGGGCGATGTAGTAATCTGGATTTCAAGCAACAGACAAGTGGGCTGTGTTTCTCTCCAAGCTGCATCAGGCATCAGGATGCCAAGAGAGAAGCAGGTAAGTTTTGTCTTAGGTAAGAGAGACACAATCAGGGAGAAGATAACTACACTCTTCAAGTACCACCATTTCTTCATAATCCAAGACATCTTTGACCTCAGAAATGTTCTGATTAGATCCCTGTAAATAAATAACCGCATGGCCATGACACTTCTGCTCATTACTCTTTGAGACGGAGCCCCTGGAGTTCTCCCGCACGGTTCTCCCTGGCGCTGGAAGGATGGAGGTCCTGACCATTTTCCAAGGAAGCTCCACTCTGCGTACCGACACGTGTGTGTAAGTACCTGGGAAAGCTCCTCTGATCAGACCTAGCAAAGGTGCTAATACGTTATTAAAGCTAATGGGGCTCTACCAGAAATGCTAATGGACAGAACGTTTGCATAAATGAATTACACATTAGCACACTGACTTAGGCTGCACACAACCTGCCAATTTAGGTAGTATCTGATGATGGTTCTCTCCCCCCATTATAGGGATGTTCCTTCCCCAATACTTTGGGGTGATATGAAAATTGTAAGCAAAATGCTCATAATGGAACAACATAATGAAGCAGGAGAAATAAATTAACACGGGGGAGGGTTCTTTGTGTAACGTTACGGTTGAGTTGCAAACACAAAAGGCAGCCATCGCCCTGCTGTAGTTCTGGATCCGTGATTAAATTGGCGGGCTGCTTAAGGCGCGAATCCTTCCATGCTTCGCATGACTCTGCACCTGAATGGCATTCAGATGGGATGGGGGCGCCTGCCAACTCCCAGGGTGCTACTCAGGGCTGCCATGGTCCTGGGCAATATTTCAAGGTAAGCAGGAAAAGGAAGCACAGGTAGGGCCCAGATCTTTTCTGCCACCCTCTGGTCCTCTAACTGCCTGAAATAGGAAGCCGCAGCTTAGTGCCAAGCCAGTAATTTAACTTCGTGGATTTACCGAAAGTTATCCTCTAATGACAATATTTATAGCAGGGGTCCCCAAACATGGCAACTTTAAGACTTGTTGGACTTCAACTCCCAGCTATGCTGGCTGGGGAATTCTGGGAGTTGAAGTCCACAAGTCTTAAAGTTGCCATGTTTGAAGACCTCTGATCTAAGTGGCGAGATTGCAGAAGAAGGGATTATAAGAGAGTAAGCTATGCTGGCTGGGGAATTCTGGGAGTTGAATAGCAGTAGCAATAGCAGTAGACTTATATACCGCTTCATAGNAGAGAGAGAGAGAGAGAGAGAGAGAGACGAAGCCGAAAAACTTTACCTAGCGAAATGGGTCTCTTCTGTCCAATGCAAGAGAGCTGCACCACTGAACAGAATCGCTCTCTCAGCTTTAGATTGGAAGACAGGGTGTGTGTGTGTGTGTGTGTGTGTGTGTGTGTGTGTGTGTGTGTGTGTGTGTGACCTCTAACTGAATTGGCCCAACCGGGGGGACATATCGATTGGAGCAGGGAGTTTCTTAACCTTGGCACCTTTGTGATGTGCAGCCTTCCAGTCCAGACATCTTAAAGGTGCGAAGGGTGAGAAAGACTGGATTAGCCTTTATCTCTGGTTCTGCTTAATTCATTGGAGAGGCTGAAAAAAGGGAAGGAGGCTGGGATGCAAAAGCTGTGAGTTGCAAAGACTTAATAGTAAGTAAAACCCAGCCTACAAAGGACCCTTTTCCTTGCTCGGAATCTTTGTCGTTTCTTCTGCACTAATGCTCTGCACAAAGATTTCACCACCACGCCTGCTCAGAAATGGCTCTTAAGAGCCTGCGTATAAAAAGCTACTCCCAAAAAAAACCCCGGCTATAATGCTTCCATTTTTTGCAACAGCTTATTAGCACTTTCCATTTAGGGATTTGGGGGCTTAGGGAAATGAAAACCTGACAAATATGAAGTACTTAGCCTGGGTGAGAAGGGATCTTTCTCTCCTGTAATTCCATCCCTGCCATGTTCAACTAGGAGGCACCTCCCAGTCCTTCTGCTTAGTTCCCCTCTGCAGCCCAACAGAGGTCCAGGGTCTTCTGGTGATATCTTCTCTTTCTGGAGACATGTAGTCACCTCCTCTGCTCTAGAATGACTGAAGGCCACCATCTCTGCTCTAGAATGACTGAAGGTCACCGTGTAGTCACCTCCTCTGCTCTAGAATGACTGAAGTACATCTCCTCTGCTCTAGAATGACCGAAGGTCACTATCTCTGCTCTAGAATGACTGAAGGCCACCATCTCTGCTCTAGAATGACTGAAGTCCATCTCCTCTGCTTTAGAATGACTGAAGTCCATCTCCTCTGCTCTAGAATGACTGAAGGTCACCATGTAGTCACCTTCTCTGCTCTAGAATGACTGAAGATCACTATCTCTCCCCAGAATGACTGAATGCCACTTCCTCTGCTCTAGAATGACTGGAGGTCACTATCTCTGCTCTAGAATGACTGAAGTCCATCTCCTCTGCTCTAGAATGACTGAAGATCACTATCTCTGCCTAGAATGACTGAAGGCCACCATCTCTGCTCTAGAATGACTGAAGGCCACCATCTCTGCTCTAGAATGACTGGAGTCCATCTCCTCTGCTCTAGAATGACTGAAGGTCACCATGTAGTCACCTTCTCTGCTCTAGAATGACTGAAGGCCACCATCTCTGCTCTAGAATGACTGAAGGCCACCATCTCTGCTCTAGA